ATCCATATCAACATGTATATGTGAATTCTTGTCATTTGTGGGTAGATCTAGTACACAAGGCTATCTGGGCAATGAAGAAGCTCAATTTGGAATGGGGTGCTACGTCTAATAAAAGAGTTAATGACTTCAATAATCTAGATGATTTTCTCCTAAAATCCTATTAACGTTCATTGTTGTAGAAAGAGAAGATGAAGAACTACCACGATCAAAGGATTGAAAAACCAGATTTTGTTTTGGGCGATCTCGTGTTTCTTTTAAACTCTATGTTGTGCTTGTTTCTAGGCAAGATCAAGTGGAATAAGACATGTCCATTCTTACTTAAGAAATTATTTCGACATAGAGCAGTGGAGCTCGAGAATAGTGAAAGAACAAGATTCAAGGTAAACTAGTAGAGGATCATGCTTTATCTAAGAAATGCGAAGATCGTGAAAGAAGTCATTGAGGCCTACTATCTTGATGAAGTATGAGTAATCAAGAGGCTTTCATCATACGGCTACGGTAAATGAAACGATGGTTGGGCGGCAACCAAAGATTTAAAGTCTAGCGAATGATAGGTTTCTATTTTTCTTTAGTAGTTTTCTTTCCGTATTTGTAAAATCTGGCCAACGATAGGTCTATTAATTTAATTTTATTGTTAGATAGACATAGCATGTGGTCAGTATCTAAGAAGACTCCAGAAAAATGTAAAAATAAACTGTTAATGGTTGTTATATGTTTAGGGGTGAAAATAATCATCTGCAAAAAAAGGTCTAGTGCAAATGTCTACGCACCCCATTGACGGTTCATAGTTTATTCTACGGACCCTGAGTAGTTTCCGTATTTTCCCACGTGAGTGCTAAATATTTTTTTTATTCTTAGATCATCTATAGCCCCTATCAACGGACCGTAGATCAACACACGTACCATAGATGGGGTCTCTAGTGTCAAAAACCTTGTTTTCCCGACCCTAACAAGATTCCCTCCTATTTAAAATCCCCCATTTTAAATCACTCTAACTTACCTCCTTTCATTCCCGAACTACTTCTAAATGTTCCAATCCCCTAAATTACTCAAAAATCATTCTATAACACCCCCATAAATCATCCTTTTCATAACCTTAAAATAAACAATCCCTTTCCCCCAAACCCTCTTACCCCTAAAGTCTATTCAGGCATCTGATGTTCGGATTTGGTGCTAAAAGCAAGTAGGTGTTTAAAGAAGTTGTGGTTCACTGAAAAATACCCTAGTTCCCTTTCTTGAAAAGTAAATGACTTATTCTTCACTTTGAAATTCAAATTCGTCGTGGTTATCGGAAGTCAGGAATTAGGTCTTGACGTTAGGTAGTTTCCTGAATACATGATAAAATTAATTAGTAAACACCGTTGGAATGATAGATTGTTATTGTGTGTTGCTTTGTGCATAAAACTTGTAGAATAATAGAATAAATTTGAGATTTGACTTACGGTTCCGAATCTTGTTTCAAGATACTATAGAATTGAGTAATGAGAACCCTTAGAATGACAATCTAGCAAGTTCAATGTTATAATACATGGTTAGACTAGGATATTGTTTAAAATGGCTAAAATTTTGTGTTTCAAATTGAGATATGTCCTATAGAAGGTACATACCCCACCCCCGAGACCTTTTCTTCAGACCATAGATCAATATATGGACCTTAGATTAAGTCTTTGGATGGTGGAACTTGAAAATTTCACTATCTGTTAAACAACGGATGTGGACTACAGTCCATAGATTGATATACGTACCATTTTTTACATCTGTGGTTTCCATGAGCAATCAAAATCTAGGAATATCTGATCTACGGAGGTGTTCCACGGGCCATATGTAATTCCACTGTCCGTGGGTGGCCATCGTATCCTACTTTTTCATATATGTTATTGTTTTGTTCATTCTTAGTTGTAAAATTATTTGGAGTGTTTTTTGTTGTTATTTAGGGATGAACAATGCCTCCACAGGTACCATGTCACCCATGATCAAGTAAACTACACAAAGAGAGGCAAATCAAAACCATTTGTCCCAACTTTTAGGATGATTGACAACAATACAAAAACGGAGAAACATTTCTATCATTTTCAACTGAATACAAGGACATCCCAGCCACACATCATTCTACTCGAAATACAGCATGGAAGGTGGTAAGTGATATAATCTTTGTCTCCTTTTCTAATGAGGAAGACACACTTGTGGGTCACTAGCTGGTTTTATTTTCGGGTCAGGAGATGTTTTTTATTTTGGTTCTGTTGCAGGGTCTCCCTCAGGGTCTTCTTTTGACTTTATCACCTGCTGCAGTGCACATGATCGAGCTACCCTTCTTATGAGGCCTATAGTTCATGGTATTTCCCGATTCTACCTAACACTTATCAGACTTCGGTTACTTGGGATTTCAATAGGTAGCATGTTGAGGTGCAATTGAAAATCTGCCGATATGAAAAATTATTTAATGATAATAAGAAGATGTCGCATCTTAATATCAAGGAGTGACAGGTCCTAACATGGATCCTACACACTCTACCAGAGATCCATCGGCTTTTTTAACGACATTAGTTTGAGTGGATGGACTGAGACCTAGGCACATATAATCTGGAGATTGTAAGTAAATTCTATGCTTCCTATGCGACTACTCTTTGGGTTCTCACATAAGAGTGTCTGACCCATATCTAAGGTACCCCTCATAGCAACACTAGTTCGTGGGATCTATTTCGATATCTTTGATACCACCATCCAATCCTCTCTGTAAAATACAAAACATCATCATTAATGGGAAGTCAACATGACATAAATTGATTATAGATGGGACAATGTTCAAGGAGCAGAGTTCCAACGTACTGCCAAGAAAAAAAAGATATTGTTACACTAGCTAGCTAGTCAGATTGTTACTGATGGGGAGCAGGCATGGTGGGTTACCACTAAAGGCGTGAGCATTAAGAAACCCACTCTCATATTTGTTGTTAAGTTTTTCTAGTTGTGGATTCCAAAAATAAGATTTCGCCCATAAAGAATGACAATGTAATATCATGGTTACGGGTGGTAAGTGTAACAACAGTGCTGGAGGGATTTGATATTGATTTTTCCTCCATGATCATTACTTAGTTATATGAGAGGTCTTCAAAGCCTCTACCAGTTAGCTCTTGTCACGACCCGAGAGCACCTCAAAGTTAGTGCATGGCATACTCAACCTTTCAGACCTCTTATACAAGCCTCTTAGCATTCATTTATCACATATATATAAAAAGTAGTGTGAAACTAAAAGTTTTTACGATAATAGTCAAACCTTTCTAATAAAAATAAGAAAACTAAGTATCCACATAAGAACTACTAGACACAATTAACTATCATAGAGTCATGACCCTATGATTAATTTGAGAAGAAACTTATAGTATATTACAAAGTCTTTTTGAAAGGGAACGACAAAATAATACATCTTCTTGATTATTTGAGGACATACCAATCTTGAGATAAACCTACGTCCCAAGCTTCAACTTCAAGAAAATCCTCACATTCCTGCTACACTTATAGTCATAGAGAAACATATGTAATTTGTTCATTGCATGAACTAAGTATGAACAAGCATGAAAACCATGCAAAAAGTTACATTTATTGTAACATATACTTACATAATATTTTGATTGAAACATTTTTCATAAGAATTAAATACACATAACACATGTCAACAATTACACATAAGAAACTATATTCAAGAAGCAAGCCTTTTAATCGCTCTAGACTCTCGACCTAAGGTTTTCTTTAAGAGTCACCTTAGTGAGGAATGAAGAGACGGCCCATACACCCTCTTCAACCACACTAAGTGATCCTCAAAGCTTCCATTGATAACATCCCATTACTAAGTGTACCTTATTCATTAAAGCTATTTAAGAGAAAACTACAAAATCAGGGGACTTCAAATAATGGTCTTGGAAGACCTAGGGAACTCATCCTAGCCTCTTTAAATCCTATTTATTCCATATATAGATAGCCTCACATTCCACTACCTACATATTGTATAACTTCACTTATAGAATCGGTAATTCTACTACAAGAATATAAAAATTGATGTTTTTATGATAGACAAGAAATGCAAACAATTGTAGTAGCAAATTGACGCAGCCAAGCATCCAAGCGATAGAATTATTTGTCACAGTAGCAAAATGACGCAGCAATGCAGCCAAGCAATAAAATTATTTGTCAAAGGAAAAATTATTTATTGAAGATATAGGTTGATACAAATAAGGAAACCTTAATATATTTTATTAAAGAAGGAAGTTGTATATAATAAGAATTGTACTATAAAAGGTAAAATAAGTAATCCATGTTTGAATACAATTACAATTTCCTTACCTTATTTGATAAGGATTCATGGCAAAAAAAACTTTATAAGAAGAGGAGAATGGCAAATGAAGAAGATCACGGTTTCACATTGATAGAAAAGTGAGAATTATTCATCGAGTAGAACTCTTCAAGATTGATAGGTTTGCTAAGTTCAAGAAGTCCTTGAGTTAGAAAGTCTTGAAACGTGTAAAACTATTTTCTTGTTTCGTTCTTGAGTGTTAGTTACGATTCTTTGTACAAGAAGTGGGTTTGGCTTCATGTAGAGTTGAGTTTTAGTGAGGTTTGTAACAAAAGGTGGGTTCGACCTTTTGCAGAGTAGAAGTAGTCAATTATAGTTAATCGAGAGTTGTAGTAGTGGTGAGGTTTTTGATTATTGAGTTGTAATCACAAAATATTCTAGTTGAATAAATAAAACGGGGTTTTTCCTTCCTTGAGGAGGAATGGTTTTAATTTAACAAGTGTTTGTGTTTTGACTTAAAAGCATCTTACAAGAACCTGGTTTTTGTTCTAGGGGTAAGGTTTATTCAATTGGTATCAGAGCAGGTCTTTTTGATAAAAGATTCACACCTTCAAAAGACCCAATGGCAGCACCACCTACCCCATAAGAGGGAGCTTCACAAACATCACCACCACTATTTATTGGAAAATACTATGGATGGTGGAAAAATTTTATGATGGATCATCTTATTGGCAAAAACCCTGTTCTATGGGGAGTAATTCTAGATGGACCAACAATAACTATGAAAACTGCAACTGATGGAGTCACCAAAATCCCAAAGGAAAGAAAAGAATGGAATGCTGAACACAAGCTCGCAATCTATAACAATGCCAAAGCAAAGAAAATTCTTATCTGTGGCATAGGACTAGACGAACACAATCGAATCTCATCTTATCAAGATACCAATGCCATATGGGAAACATTACAAACCTCTCATGAAGGAAAAATGCAAGTCAAGAAGTCCAAAATTGATTACTTGAATAGACAATATGAATTGTTCAAGATGGCGGAAGGGGAGACCATACAAGACATGCACACCAGGTTCACTTAAATCATCAATGAGATGTACTCCTTGGGAGAGATAGTTCCTAATGGAAATGCAGTGGAAACCAACGAAGAAAAGGAAACCTGCAGATCAGAAGAAACCATATTAGCACTCATGGCTGGATCAGATTCTGAAGAGGACAAAGAAGAAGATGATATGAATGATAAGGTTAGTCTTTATCACATAAAAGACTATCTAAACTCACACTCAAAAAGGAGCTAGAATCTTTACTCTACACTCTCATTGATGCATATAAAACCATAGACTACAAAAAGGGAATTGATAATGGAAGACTATGCATCACTAAGAGAAGAAAACAAGAATCTTGAAAAACAAATTTTTCATCTTTTATCCAAGAATACTGAGCTAAGTAAAAACCTAGACTTGGTAACTAAAAGGAATGAAGATCTAACCAAAGAGCTTGTTGTAACTAAGACTGAAGCTTAAAATGGAATGAGATGGACCAGGTCCTCCATATTGTTTGAAAACATTCACAAGAATCGTACATCTGAGAGACATGGGATAGGTTAGAACTAGCAGTCAAGTAAAAAATCCCAATATAGATTGTCTATGCATGCACTGTGAGCTGGTAGGGCATAAAAGTCATGATTGTCAATGAAAACAAACTTTTCATAACAAATACTTGAAATCCTTGAGAAAACCAATGAGCAAAAACAAATCCCTATAGTCAAATCTCTTCCTAGATGGGCCAGAAAAAATCTTATTTATCCATTCCCTAAGAATAAATCAAACTTGATTTGGGTACTAAAATCTAACACCCGAAATTAAACTGCATGGATCAGTGAGAAGGAAGCAACAACAATTGTAGTTTTATAGTGCATGTTCCAGACACATGACTGGAGATAAAAGAAGCTTCCTCTCACTTAAAAACATCAAAGGAGGAAATGTTGCCTTTGGTAATGGAAAAAGTTGGGAAATTCAGGGAATTGGAAAGGTTGGATCCATGGATACTCATGCAATTGAGAACGTATACTGCGTGAATGGCCTACAACATAATCTATTGAGCGTATCTCAAATATGCGATAAAGGAAGCAATGTATTATTTACAGAAAAAGAATGCAGCGTACCAAACTCAGTGACTGGGAACCTCGTTCTACTAGGTAAGAGACACAATAATGTGTACAAAGCCAAGATTTTTGACTCTAAGGAAGATACTCTTCAATGTCTAAGTGCAGGATCTTATTGCTTCATTCTCTGGCACAAAAGAATGGGAAACATTAGCATGAAAACAATAAATAAACTCATATCTAAAGACAAGGTTAGGGGACTGCCAACCAAAAGTTTCAGGGACAACCAAGTATGTGGAACCTGCATTCAAGGAAAACAGGTTAGATCATCCTTGAAACCAAACTTGACAGTGAGTACTACCAAGCCACTAGAACTCTTCCACATGGACTTGTGTGGACCAATGCGTATACACAACAGAGGTGGGACAAGATATGTGTTTGTAATAGTTGATGACTATTCAAGATTCACATGGACATTATTTCTTGCAACAAAGGATGAAACATTCACAATGTTTGAAATCTTTGCAAAGCTGGTTCAGAAAAAATTCAACAAATAAATAATTAGCATCAGATCTGATCATGGGCTGGAGTCTGAGAACTCACAATTCCGACAATTTTGTGGTACAAATGGGATTGAGCATAACTTCTCAGCACCTAGAACACACAACAAAATGGTGTAGTTGAGAGGAAAAATAGAACATTGGAAGATATTGCAAGAACAATGCTAATCTCAAGCAAACTTCCAAAATTCTATTCGGCTGAAGTAGTAAACACAAGATGCTATCTAATAAACAGATGTATGATCAGATCAGTGGTAAATAAAATACCATATGAGCTACTAAAAGGAAGAAAACCAAATTTAGCTCATCTTAGGGCCTTTGGGTGTGTATGCTTTATACTCAACAATGACAAGGACAATTTTGAAAATTTTGATGCCAAGAGTGATGAAGGATTTTTTCTGGGCTATTCTTCACAAAGCAAAGCCTACAAGGTACTGAATAAAGAACAAACAGTATAGAAGAAAGTGTTCATGTTGTCTTTAATTAAAATAACCGTGAAGTTGAGGGAAATTCAAAGGATAAACAGAATGAGGGAACCTGCTCGAAGCCATCAGAACCAAAAATATGGGAAGAAGAATCCATACCCTATCATAAAAAACCCGAAATAGGAGATAAGTTTACTAATGAAACTTGTTCTTCTGCATCTCAAGAGCCAGAAAACATCCCAACTCACACCTGGAAACATCAAAGCTCTCACCCCTCACTCTTACTCCTCTTAACTCAGGCATCTCTACAAGATCAAAATTACGTAGCGTGTGTGCCGTCTCTGCCTACGTATCCCTGATTGAGCCAAAAATATAAAGGAAGCACTACTAGACTCTGATTGGATTAGTGCTATGCAAGAAGAACTTCATCCGTTTGAAAGAAGCAGAGTATAGAACCTGGTTCCAAAACCTCAAAACAGGACGGAAGTAGAAACAAGGTGGGTGTTTAGAAATAAACTCAATGAGCAAGGTCAAATAGTACGCAACAAAGCTAGGACAGTTGTACAGGGATATAACAAAAAGAAGGGATAGACTATGATAAAACCTATGTACCCGTAGCAAAAATTGAGGCAATCAGAATATTCATTGCATATGATGCTCACATGGAATTTAAACTATATCAAATGGATGAAAAAAGTGTAATTTTAAACGATTATCTGCAAGAAGAGGTGTATGTGAAACAACCCCCAGGTTTTGAGAATACCAAGTATCTTGATCATGTATACAAACTAGACAAAGCACTCTATGGGCTAAAATAATCACCTAGAGCATGGTATGATCGATTGTCAACCTTTCTTCTCACACATGGATACGCAAGAGGAAAAATGTTGTAACACTCCGGAAGTTCCATAACAAAGACTAGAGATTATCCTATATAAATATGATTAAAATGACGTTTATAAACCTTTATTAATGTAATGAACATAGTTAGAAAAGCTTCAAACAAAAACGACAATGAAAAAGCTTGTCTTCCGAAAACTAGCTAATTTGAACTAGTTCACGTCCATATGTTTGGTGATGGTTTTGCAGTGTCAAATGAAGTCCAAATCTTGTTAAAAGTCTTTTAATAGGTATTATTTAGTACGAAGGGTACAAACGTATGGTAATTACTACCCAAGGACCACTTCAAGGGTCCTTGAGGTATCATAGAAGAAAGGCGAGCAAGCTTCCAAAACAGACTGCGCACAACCTGGAACTGAGAGATGCTGCGCGATAAGCAGCAAACACGTGGAGGTCAAAAATTTTCCTCACGACGTGGATCCTCCACGAATCTCTATGTCCCAACTCGAATTTTAATAAATAAATGTTAAATTGACCATGCGATGCACAAAAACATCCAAGATTTTTCCCCATAGTTTTTATGTCAATGCACAAAATGACCAATTTAAGTTAGGGGTATGTTGGGTTTTTTACTAAATGAGATTATAATGATTTTAGGTCAGTTTTAGAACACTTTCATGCACTTCAAATCGGATTAAACAAATCGCTTTCATCTCTGTCAATAACTCTCTCTTTTTAAGCTCCATTGAAGAACAACAAGAACTTAAGGAAGAAGACAAAGATTTCAAGTTTTTCTTCTTCAATTCGTGGAATATTCGTCAATAAGTTATGAGTTTTTCACTCTTCGAATACCTTTCAACACGATGTCCTTTGAAAGATGATTTTCAAGAACTCACTTTTCATTGTTTTTACTCTACAAAGCGGGTTTGCTTCCAAACTCAAGATTGACTACTAATGATGAAAAACAATGATTTTCGATGGTTAATTACGTATTTATTAGTGGGTAATTGGTTTTAAATGTTTGGTTTTCGTGTGAAGCATGTTCCTTATCTAAATAATTGTTTTGATTGGGTTATATCTTTCATTGATAACATGTAAACGTTAGGATAGAAACAGTAGCTTAAATGCACTCTTTAATTACCTATTCCTTTATCCTTAACTAAAGATTGGCCTTGAACATGACTTGAATTGTTTTTTATTTTATTGATTATTTAACTATGTTGTTGGATTATTATAGTAAATTGAATATAAGGTCTTCATGAAGTTTCTTGGAACCAATAGGTATGTCTTCTAAAGTCATGAAATCTAAACTATGTTTATGTTGTCCTATAATTGATGTATCTAAAAATTGAAATATGTATGATGTTTCTATGCATATATGTTGGACTTTTAGTTGGTCGGATCATGGTAAGTATATGATAATTTAAGTTGATTATGTTTATCTTGTTTGCCTTACACACTTTGATTATGATATATTAATCCCACAAATGAAGGTTGCGATGAAAGGAAATTCTCATCTTAAACCTAAAGAGATTATAATCATATTTTTACATGGAGTTAATATTCTATGACGTATTACAATATTTAATGAATAAGTGATTACTTAAAGGTTATTGACAAAGGGACTTTATTAGCACCGATTAATTAGATATGAGAAGTGTCCCTTCCCTAGATGGAAGGTAGGTTCACAATGACTCTAATGAGATCGGCTTCCATGTAATGTGGAATTATGTTTCTCTAATATATATCCTAGTACATGAACTATGTCTCCATCATAGGAATACTAGCTAGTGGATCCATCTAGAATGATATGTTCATGTTTTGGTTCTACTTTTGCCCGTAGACCACCTTCATGCAGTGTGGGGCTTCATGAGACCGAATCTGTGTTTAGCTCCCATGGTCTAATATCGCTTAAGGCGATTGTTCCCTAAAGTAAAATGACATACTAGTTAATGGATATTGACTAAGCTGACTTGACAATTTTACTTAGTAAAGGTAGGGGCATGAGACTCTATCTAAACATTGCATAAGTTGACTCTATGGGAAGTACTAGGAGATTGTTCTTACGTAATATGATAACATAAAATGTATAATGCATACGATATATGATGTTACTTTAGTATGATGTTGTTTATGTTGATGAACATGTTATT